GGGGTCTTTGGTTTTGGGATCAAGGTAATGGTGGCCTCATAAAATGAGTTTGGAAGTTTTCCTTCCATTTCTATTTTTTGGAACAGTTTCAGGAGAATAGGTATTAATTCTTCTTTAAATGTCTGATAGAATTCCCCTGGGAAGCCATCTGCCCCTGGGCTTTTGTTTCTTGGGAGATTTTTGATGACTGCTTCAATTTCCTTAGTGGTTATAGGTCTGTTCAGGTTTTCTATTTCTTCCTGGTTCAATTTTGGTAGTTGATACATCTCTAGGAATGCACCCATTTCTTCCAGGTTATCTAATTTGCTGGCATAGAGTTGCTCATAATAGTTCTTATAATTGTTTGTATTTCTTTGGTGTTGGTTGTGATCTCTCCTCTTTCATTCATGATTTTGTTGATTTGGGTCATTTCTCTTTTCCTTTGGGTAAGTCTGGCCAGGGGTTTATCTATCTTGTTAATTCTTTCAAAGAACCAGCTCCTAGTTTCATTGATCTGTTCTACTGTTCTTTTGGTTTCTATTTCCTTGATTTCTACTCTGATCTTGATTATTTCTCTTCTCCTGCTGGGTTTAGGCTTTATTTGCTGTTCTTTCTCCAGCTCCTTTAGGTGTACGGTTAGGTTGTGTATTTGAGTCCTTTCTTGTTTCTTGAGAAAGGCTTGTATTGCTATATACTTTCCTCTCAGGACTGCCTTTGCTGTATCCCAAAAATTTTGAACAGTTGTGTTTTCATTTTCATTGGTTTCCATGAATTTTTTTAGTTCTTCTTTAATTTCCTGGTTGACCCATTCATTCTTTAGTAGGATGCTCTTTAGCCTCCATGTATTTGAGTTCTTTCCGACTTTCCTCTTGTGATTGAGTTCTAGTTTCAAAGCATTGTGGTCTGAAAATATGCAGGGAATGATCCCAATCTTTTGGTACCGGTTGAGACCTGATTTGTGACCTAGGATGTGATCAATTCTGGAGAATGTTCCATGGGCACTAGAGAAGAATGTGTATTCCGTTGCTTTGGGATGGAATGTTCTGAATATGTCTGTGAAGTCCATTTGGTCCAGTGTTTCATTTAAAGTCTTTATTTCCTTGTTGATCTTTTGCTTAGATGATCTGTCCATTTCAGTCAGGGGGGTGTTAAAGTCCCCCACTATTATTGTATTGTTGTCGATGTGTTTCTTTGCTTTTGTTATTAATTGCCTTATATAATTGGCTGCTCCCACGTTAGGGGCATAGATATTTACAATTGTTAGATCATCTTGTTGGATAGACCCTTTAAGTAGGATATAGTGTCCTTCTTCATCTCTTATTACAGTCTTTGTTTTAAAATCTAATTTGTCTGATTTAAGGATTGCCACCCCAGCTTTCTTTTGGTGTCCATTAGCATGGTAAATGGTTTTCCACCCCCTCACTTTCAATCTGGGGGTGTCTTTGGGTCTAAAATGAGTCTCTTGCAGACCGCATATTGATGGGTCTTGTTTTTTAATCCAGTCTGATAGCCTGTGTCTTTTGATTGGGGCGTTTAGCCCATTTACATTTAGGGTAACTATTGAAAGGTATGAATTTAGTGCCATTGTATTGCCTGTAAGGTGACTGTGACTGTATATTGTCTGTGTTCCTTTCTGATCTATGCTGCTTTTAGGCTCTCTTTTTGATTAGAGGACCTCTTTCAATATTTCTTGTAGGGCTGGTTTTGTGTTTGCAAATTCCTTTAGTTTTTGTTTGTCCTGGAAGCTTTTTATCTCTCCTATTTTCAATGATAGCCTAGCTGGATATAGTATTCTTGGCTGCATATTTTTCTCGTTTAGTGCTCTGAAGATAATCATGGCAGTCCTTTCTGGCCTGCCAGGTCTCTGTGGATAGGTCTGTTGCCAGTCTAATGTTTCTACCATTGTAGGTTACATATCTCTTCTCCTGAGCTGCTGTCAGGATTTTCTCTTTGTCTCTGAGACTCGTAAGTTTTACTATTAGATGTCGGGGTGTTGACCTATTTTTATTGATTTTGAGAGGGGTCTCTGTGCCTCCTCGATTTTGATGCCTGTTTCCTTCCCCACATTAGGGAAGTTCTCCGCTATTATTTGCTCCAATATACCTTCTGCCCCTCTCTCTCTTTCTTCTTCTTCTGGGATCCCAATTTTTCTAATGTTTCGTCTTATCGTATCACTAATCTCTCGAATTCTGCCCTCGTGATCCTGTAGTTGTTTCTCTCTCTTTTTCTCAGCCTCTTTATTTTCCATCATTTGGTCTTCTATATCGCTGATTCTTCTGCCTCATTTATCCTAGCAGTTAGTGCCCCCATTTTTGATTGCACCTCATTAATAGCCTTTTTGATTTTGACTTGGTTAGATTTTGGTTCTTTTATTTCTCCAGAAAGGGTTTCTCTAATAACTTCCACACTTTTTTCAAGCCCAGCTAGTATCTTTAAAGTCATGATTCTGAACTCTAGGTCCAACATCGTACTAATGTCCGTATTGAGTAGGTCCCTGGCAGACGGTACTACCTCTTCTTCTTTTTGCTGAGGTGATTTTTTTCGTCTTGTCATTTTGTCCAGAGGAGAACAGATGAATGAGAGAACAGATTGCTAACAGGGTAACAACGTCCCCAGCAAATATACTGTATACAAATCAGAAAAGACCTGAAACCAGGGGACAAGAAAGGGAAAGAAAGAAGAGAAAAAAAAAAAAAAGGAAAAAGATAAAAACAAACAAAAACAGAACAAAACAAAAAAAACCAGAATATGATCAAATATGATCAGGCTAGTGCATAGATCAATGCCACACACTAGCTTTTGGGCATATTTTGGTCTGTTAGAAGAAAGTACCTGCTAAAATTTTAAAGGAAGAAAGACTTATATATGTACAAAAGAAGGGTTGATACAATGAAGGGATGGAAGATGACTGTAAAGATTAAAATTATAAAAGATTTTATAAAAGGAATTGATAAGTTGTTTTTAAAAAGAAAGAAGAAGATTTAAGAAAAAGAAAAAAGAGAGACTGTGATCAGGCAGGAGAATAGAACAAAGCCATACACCAGTGATTTAGGGTATATTTTGATCTCTTAGAAGAAATTGTATCTCAAAATTTTAAAGAGAGAACAACTTATATATATATATATATATGGCAAAAATAAGGGTAACTACTATGAAGGGATAAAAATATGACTCTAAAAATGAAAAATAAAAAATGTTTTTTTTAAAAAAGGGATTGATAAGATGTTTGAAAAAGGGAAAAAGAAAAATAAAAACAGTTAAAAAATTAACTTTAAAAATCTAATGAATCATGGTAAAAAAGCCATGAATTCTATGTGCAGTATTCCCCTAGCGCTGGAGTTCTCCCGTTCTCCTTGATCGGTAAACTTGGTCTTGGCTTGCTGGCTGTTCGTGCTGATCTTCTGGGGGAGGGGCCTGTTGCCGTGGTTCCCAAATGTCTTTGCCGGAGGCGGAATTGCCCCGCCCTTGTCGTCCTGGGCTGAGCAAGCTGCTCGGGTTTGCTCTCGGGAGCTTTTGTTCCCTGCAAGCTCTCGGTACAGCTTTGGAGGACCAGGGTGAAAATGGCAGCCTCCCAATCTCCCCCCGGAGGAGCTGAGAACTCGGGGCCCCACTCCTCAGTGCGCCCCCAGAGAAAAGCAGTCACTCCCTTGTCCCCGGTCTCCGGCCGCACCCCGTGCTCACCCGGCCTGTGACCGAGCGTTGCTATCTCTGGCACCTGACCGTGTGGAGTCTCCAAACCCAGCAGATCCCTGCAGTGCGCTCCGGCGCCGCTCCTCCCGTGGGAGGAAGGGGAGTCTCCCCGGATCTGCCCTTGTTGGGTCCCTGCTGGAGGAGCCGTGGCCCGACTGGGCCGCGGATCACAGTTTATGGCAACCCCGAGCTGAGAGCCCGCGCCTCTGCTCTGTCTCTGCAGCCGGCTTCCCCGCTCCGATCCCTGGGAGCTCTGCTGCACTCAGGCTCCCCCGGTCTTTCTGTGACCCCGAGGGTCCTGAGACCACACTCTCCCACGAGGGTTCCACCCCCCGCTTAGCCACTGCAGCGAAGTCCCTCCGCGGAGCCGACTTCTAGAAGTTCCGATTTTGTGCTCCGCGGCTCTATCACTTGCCAGAAGCGGCCGACGGAGGCCCCCCCCCCCCCCGCCGTCTATCCTCCCGAATATCGCCTCGGATTCACTTCTCCGCACGTCCTACCTTCCAGAAAGTGGTCGCTTCTCTGTTCAGAGAGTTGTTGCTACTCTCCTCTTCGATCTCCTGTTGAGTTCGTAGGTGTTCAGAATGGTTTGATCCCTATTCAGCTGAGCTCCTGAGACCAGACGAAATCCAGGTCTCCTACTCCTCTGCCATCTTGCTCCTCTCTCTACTTTTTCAGTGTATTTAATAGTGGTAGATTATTTGATATTTGTATTTTTTTTTTTATTATTTCTCCATAATGGAGTCAGGTAGGTTATATACTTGTTGAGGTTTATACAAGTTTATTTTTTATATCTGTTTGTGGACATATAATTATCCATCATCACCTCTTATAATTGTTTTTATTTCTTTGTTATCAGTTACATTGCGTCTGCTTTCACTTCTTTACTTCTGATTTTAGCTAGTCGTCTTGCTTCCATTCTTTATTTAAAAGTATATTGATTTTGTTGATCTTTTCTGAAAATGCAATCTTCCTATTGATGTTTTCCTGTTTTTGCTCTCCTGTTTTGTTGATTTCTAGTTTAAGTTTAAATTTCCTTCCTTCTGCTAGTTTTTGGATCAAATGGCACTTTTCCTGATTTTTTGGGGTATAGGATCATGATGTGTGCTTCCAGCATGACAATACTATGGAACTATGTGATAGGCTGTGTGATCTGTACATTGTCTGCGAGTTTGTCTCCCTGGAGGAATGAAGTCCTGATGATTCTTTCTCAGCCATATTGCTGAAGTTCTCTGATTGATTTTAATTTTGCGTATTAGAAGCTTTCGTTATATTCATCTGAGAATAGTAAGTGGAATGATTTTACTTTTCTCTTATTCAATATCTTTCAGCTGTATCTTCAAATGGCACCCAGAGTTTCCTGCCAAAGCTGTGCATAGAAGCTTCTTTCCAAAACGTGGCAGTGGGTAGATATAAGCATAGTGCCCTTGACAATTTACACTTAATGATAGACTGGAAAAATGATGGGGAGAGTGAAGAGCATCAAAGATATCATGAAGGACATATCCAAACTGAGACAACTGTTCATAATATGAATCTCACTGCCCAAAATGATGAAGAATATAAAACACTTGGGAAAATATCCCTTCTTAAGTCCGCTACTTCTGCAAAGCAGTGTCTTTCTGTAAGCAAGGGCTCAAATCAAATGGTGAAACATACGTATTTGGAGAATGAGAATTTGGAAAATCTGGAAAGTTGCCCAGTCCATGCTGAAAATAATTATTTGAACCATTTTGAAGGTAGGATTGGATTGACCTTTGAGTCAAACATTTCTGAAAATCAGAGATTTAAAAATGAAGAACAAAGTGCTAAGTGGGATTCATTTGAGAGGTCCTTCACCGAGGAGTCAACCCTACAAGATGACCAGAGCATTTTCAATGAAAATAGTATTGCTCAATGCAGTGACTCTGAGAACAAATTTAACGAGGGTTCAAATGTTAATAAATGCGTGAGGACTCATTTTCCAGAGAATCATTATGAGTGTGATAAATGTGTGGAAGTCTTTTATCAAAGCTCCAACCTGATTATACATAAGAGTATCCCTATGGGAGAGAATCCTTATAAATATGAGTGTGGGAAATCTGTTAACCAGTCCTCCAATGTTGGTGATTATCAGAGAATTCATATGGAGAAAAACATATACAGATGTAATAAAGCTGTGAACATGTTGAGTCAATCATCAGGACTAAACATACATAACACAGTCGCTACTGGACAGAAAACTTACATTTGTGAGGAATGTGGTAAAGCTTTTGACTGGCACTCAACACCATCTCAACATCAGCCAGTACCTACTGGAGAGAAACCTTACAAATGTGAAGAATGTAGCAAGGTCTTTATCCACCACTCACACCTTATTCAACAGGACAGAATTCATCCTGGAGAGAAACCTTACCAATGTGAAGAATGTGGAAAGGCCTTTAACCAGCACTCAATGCTTACTCGACATCAAAGAATTCATACTGGAGAGAAACCTTATCAATGTGAAGAATGTGGCAAGGCCTTTAACCAGCACTCAAACCTTATTCAACATCACAGAATTCATACTGGAGAGAAACCTTACCAATGTAAAGAATGTGGCCAGGCCTTTAATCATCACTCAAGCCTTACTCAACATCACAGAATTCACAGTGGTGAAAAACCTTACATATGTAAAGAATGTGGCCAGTCCTTTAACCAGCACTCAAACCTTACTCGACATCACAGAATTCATAGTGGAGAGAAACCTTATATATGTAAAGAATGTGGCCAGGCCTTTAACCAGCACTCAAAGCTTACTGAACACCTCAGAATTCATACTGGAGAGAAACCTTACATATGTAAAGAATGTGGCCAGGCCTTTAACCGGCACTCACATCTTACTCGACATCACAGAATTCACAGTGGAGAGAAACCTTACCAATGTAAAGAATGTGGTAAGGCCTTTAACCAGCAGTCAAAGCTTACCGAACATCACAGAATTCATACTGGAGAGAAACCTTATATATGCAAAGAATGTGGTCAGGCCTTTAACCGGCATTCACACCTTACTCGACATCACAGAATTCATAGTGGAGAGAAACCTTACATATGTAAAGAATGTGGTGATACCTTTATCCAGCACTCACACCTGACTCGACATCACAGAATTCATACTTGAAGGAATCCTAACCAAAATAATGTGCCAAGGCCTTTAAGCTGTGCTAAAGTCTTAACTTCTGATCAGAGGATGTATACTGGAGAAGATTTTGCAAACATAATGAATTTGGCAAGCCCTTTAATCAGAAGTCAAGCTTCATTGACCACCAGAGAGTTCATATTGGAGAAGAAAACTTAGAAATGTAAAGAATGTGGTAAAACTTTTAGGATTGCTCAACTCTTACTCAGCATCTCAGAGTTCATACTGGGGGGAAACATTACAAAGGTAAAAGAATGTCTCAAGCCTCTAGCTGGAACTCTCAACTTACTGAACATCATAGTTCTCATCACAGGATGGAAACTAAAATACAGAGATTGCAGTGCCTTTAACTGGAATTCAATCCTTAATATCCAAAAATTCACACTAGAGTCAAACCCTACAAACTTATGAATGAGGAAAGACCTTCATTTTAAATATACACATTAGTAAACACTCGTGAGTGCATAAAGGACAGTAACTTGAAAGATGTAAATACTTAGAAATGTGTAGCTGAACATCAAATGTCAATAAATGTCACAGAAATCAAGTACAAAGCACTATGTCAGTCAATCTATTCAGATACTACATCACAATACTCATGATAAGGAATAATAACAAAGTTAAACTGTTAGAAATGTCTGTCCTCTTATGCTTCAAAAGATTAAGTGGATAGATTTTTGCATAGTTCTAATTAATTTCAATATGTGCTTTTTTTTTTTTTTACATTCGCCCTATCTGATATTTGTGTCTAGCAAATATTAATGTATCTCTACTCTCAAGTCACTTCAGAAAATACATTTATTTTTAGTATGTGTGAAATTGTGTGACTGTTGCTTCGTCAAAGATAGGAAATCTCTCCTTCACTAGGTGGGACTCATGATATCTAATTATCCATGGAAGATGAAGGACAATATAATATACAATATATAAAGAAAATCTAAATGGAGATATTGTTTGTGGTTGTAACATTAATGACGGTTGTCATGAAAAAGGTGTTCAGAACATCAATCTTTTCCGTTTATTAAAACTAAAGAACTTTCTGAATATTACCAAAAAAATATTTTACCAGCTGGTATTAGAGGAAAAACAGGTGACAATCCAGTAAAATTCTGATGTATCCTCATGATAGCAATAGTTAGAGAATATTAGTGGATGTGGTTGAAAGGAAGAAATCCTCACAGATATCATTAAGAGGGTAGCTGGCTCTTCCCCCAACATGGCATACATCCACATTTGTTGAGAAAGACCTCACACCTGAAAATTATTGAAACCACTACTCTCACATCATGATATCAGTGCTTGAATGCTTTTTAATGCTTATATACTGTATTTTGAACAAGGATTGTAGAGGGGATTGAAATGCATAACTTAGTCTGTGTGTGAACTTAATATATTTTAATTAATAAAACATAATGGTTTTTATCGTGTTAACATGGATATGTAATGAATGAAGTGTTATCTGACTACCAATGTTAACTTATCTCATTTTATATAGGTTGTAGGTAACTGATGATATCTATCACCTATTTGGCAACAGAGTGGAAATATTATCTAGTAATCCATTTTCTCACTGGCCTTAATGTTTAGATAATGTGTGATTGTTTTTCCCTTAGTTTAAATATCGTATCATTTTCTCCTCCTTGGGACTAGTGGGGTAGTATAACAGATATATTATAGATTGTATGTGGCTCTCATTGATCAACTAAGTGAAGTATTCCATGACAGTGCTACTTAGCATACATTTTGTGTAGGCAGGAGTTTTGCAGGGGACTTTTAAGTGACACAAGAGAATCTTACTGGTGCATTTCCTACATAACAAACTGTGGAGTCAGAAGTTAATGTACCTTCTGATAGGGCATTCCTCCCAGTCCACCCTTGTGAGCAAACATTTCTCCTGTCTCCCATGACTTTCCCCTTATGTGTCCTTTAGAGAAGACTCCTTCCGAGCTTACTTAAACCTGTTTTAGTTTGAAAGGCTATCTGGACTTTTCCCAGGGACCCTAAAGCACTCTACCATGGCCCCTAATAAAGGTATGTGCCCCACTTCATACGTGTGGGTGGTGTTTTCATGTTTCTATCTAGTAAACATACACTTATAACAATGGTTTGTGTGTAACAGATACCCCATAAGTTAGAGAAATATATTCCGGTAGGAGTGACATTGTAGCCCCAGTTAAGAGAAAGTACAGAGGATGAAGAATTGGCGTGAATTCTGCATGTGGAGAGAGGACACCTTTCCTGGGTTGCACAACTGACTCCCTGGATTTAGAAAAATAACTTATACTTGTTTATTTTCCTAGACATCTGCAGATCTCCATTTCTATTTATCCCCAGTTTTATTTCCACCTACATAGGCATCTCAAATGTTCTTCTTTGCCTGTGTTGTGGTGAGAATGTCCTCACTGACCTTCTAATTGAGTTAGAGACAAGTAAGGCCAATGGGTGTCAATTCAGACATTTAGCCCTGGCACGTGGGATGTAAATATAAGTAAAACACAATGATGGCAGCATCCTTAGAGAGAAAGGTAAGACCTATTAAAAGAAAATGTGAAGAACTTTTCAGTGTGGGTAGGGAACCCAACGTGGCTCCCTTCAGTCATTCGAAAGGCACAGGCATCTCTTGGTGGTGTCATCTGATGAGTAATAGTAATGGAATGAAGGAATTGGCAAGTGTGGTGGGTTTCTGAGGAGTAGGGAAGTCCTGTTTTATCTTCATGATTTAATTGAATTCCTGTGTGTTAGTGAGGACCAGGTGCTGTTGTGATGACTGTGTTTGCCCAGCTCTAGATCAGTGGCTGTGGATGGAGGAAGGGTATTCGATGATGCAATCATTTAGTGCATAACTTCAAAATATCACATGGTAGAGTAGCTGTTGGAGATGAAGAAGCCTTCTGGACAGTGGAATAGGGAGGCTCAGCAAGATGTGTGCTGTGGTTTCACAAAGCGCTAGTATCCCAGGTATATAACCCCAACATAGTTCAAATCCACTGTAGATGGGTATCCTTTCGTGGAAGCTGATGCATTGCTGTGCGGGACCTTCCTCCCTTTACTGAGTGCCATGATGAGTGTGGGCCTGTGCTCTGGCTCTGTGCCATGGATTTCTTGGAGGAGTGGTACAACAGTCAGTGGCAGTGAGCATTTCTGCTTCAGACAGTCTGGTACCAGTGTTTATTGACTGATAAATGAATAAAGAAGATGTGTTTCTATATAGAATGGAATTTTAGCCTTAAAAAGGAATGAAATCTTACCATGTGCAATGACATGGATGGAGCTAGATTTTTATGCTAATGGAAAGAAGTCAGAGAAGGACAAATACCATGTGTTTTCACACATATATGGAATATAAGAAACAAGCAATGGAATATAAGAAACAAACAAGCAAAGGAGAAAAAAAAAAGCAGACAGGCAAATCAAAAAATAGACTCTTAACTATAGAGAAGAAACTGATGGTTACCAGAGTGGAGAGGGATTGGGGGATGGGTTAAATAAGTGATGGGAATGAAGATGTGCATTTGTTGTATTGAGCACTGGGTGTTGTATGGAATTGTTCAGTCACTATTGTACACCTGAAACAAATATGACAGTGCATGTTAACTCACTATAATTTAAATAAAACCTTTTAAAAAATACTTTGGTGTTTACAGATTTAAGAAATTTTGTCCTTATGTTAACTGACTTGCAGCAGTTACACAAAATACACCTTTGTAAACAAATTGGAACGTTTATCTTTTCTCCCTGATTTCTCCAGAATTCAGAGTGTCTCTAACTATTTTTATATTTTAATGCCTGTATATATATTTGTATAATTTCAATAAGAATCTGTTCTCACGATGACAAGACACAAGCAGAAACACTCGTTATATAACCATGGCTTTGACTGGAATGTCATAGCTGAGAAAGAGCTGCAAAGACTCAGATACAACAAGACAGCTATAGGGAACTAAGATTGACTTTATGGAGCAAATAAGGACCCCTTGGAAATATCAGCCTGATACCTTACTTAGGGAGTTCCCAGCAGCTTTACCGTGTGAGCAAGGCAGATTACTTACTAGAAGGCGCAGGAACCTCAGGATATTTAGGGGAGTTCATGAAGAGAGGAGTTCACTGCAGTCTGTAGTTACTGTCCATAAAGCCTGGTGGCACGAAAATGGCATGGACTCTGACCTGGACATGCTATTAAAAGTTCGATTTAGAGATTCCTTATGAAAAGTTCCTGCAAAACTGTTTTTAAAGTGTCTGTAGCTCAACTTCCATTCTCCCTGCAGTTATATAAATAATCAGGCCAAATGTTTTTTTCTTAGACTATTTTTTTTTTAAGATTTTTTATTTATTTGAGAGAGAGAGAATGAGAGAGCACGAGAGGGAAGAGGGTCAGAGGGAGAAGCAGACTCCCCGCTGAGCAGGGAGCCCGATGCGGGACTCGATCCCGGGACTCCAGGATCATGACCTGAGCCGAAGGCAGTCGCTTAACCAACTGAGCCACCCAGGCGCCCCTTCTGAGACTATTTTGTAATCAAATTAGTGTTAATTTGACTATCTTTGGTAAAAATTTGTTTCAGTAACATTTTGGAGATACTAGATGTTAATAGTGTTCAGTATTAACTGGACTACATCCTGATTTCTTCTGATGTCGACCAATGCATGGCTACAAGTCCCCAAACATTTTGAATTTTCTCTCGCCTTCCTACTTGGAATCATTTGAGAACTAAAATTGATATTTTTCCTGAAGCTCTGCAAACTTAGTATAAATGACTTGTAAAGAAATTGTCATAATAGCTCATGTATAGACAGTCTTAGTGCTGTGGCTCTATGGGCCACTGAAATACTACCAACATAGTATTTAAACTATAAACCAGGGCGGTATGTTAGGTTTCCCCTGCCTGCCCTCACTCTATCTTAAGATGCTTGAAATCTAACATCTAGAAGTCTGTTCAGCTGGCTACCCTTAGAAATCAGAACCTGCCTTAACATTTGATCTAATCATTAACCGTAGTTCATTTGTTTTCATATAAAGGCCTCATTTAATCACATTACTTAAGCTACAGGGCTACCTTTGAAAATACACCTGTATCATTGCCTTCTGAAAGGAGTTTGACTAAACTGACCTATTGGCAGGGTAAAATGCTAGATCAGTGACATGAAGTAATCTACCAGATCAACGTGTAATACTTGAAACTCCCAAGGAAGCTTTATTTTATTTTATTTTTAAAGATTTTATTTATTTGAGAGAGAGAGAATGAGAGATAGAGGGTTCAAGAGGGAAGAGGGTCAGAGGGAGAAGCAGACCCCCCGCCGAGCAGGGAGCCCGATGTGGGACTCGATCCCGGGACTCCAGGATCATGACCCGAGCCGAAGGCAGTCGCTTAACCGACTGAGCCACCTGGGCGCCCCAAGGAAGTTTTAGACAAGGACCTGAAGGAGCGGGACAAGCCTCTTTCTCCACCCACCTCCCCCTGCAAAATGCCGCTTTGGGTAATTGAAGTGGAAGGTGCTTGAGAACCTGCAGGTTGCAGACAACACTCTACCCCTCCCCTGCCGTTAACAACCCAGAAGAATCCAAATGGGGGGAGGGGTCTTTCCAGAATATGAGAGATTAACATGAAAAAAGTTTCTCTCTGAACCATCTGTAAGGTAAGACAAATATCCAATTACCAAAGATGTGCTCTTATTGCCTTGTGAAGTGTTTTCCTTTCCTGCGAAGCTCCTGACCCCCACCCCCTTTTTTTTTTTTGCTTATTTCAGGTTGATATTTGTACCTCATCTTCCCAGACAGTCTGGAACTTCCATTTCTGTGTGGATTTCCTGTACATATACCTGTTAAATTTGATTTTCCTCCTGTTAATCTGTCTCATGTATTTGATTCTAAGTCCAGCTAGAAAGACCTCAGAGGGGACAAGAATTCTTGTTCTCTGACAGGGGATTTAATGTAATGCCTCATTTCCCCTGGCATCAGGTGGTGTAGCAGTAGGAAGTACTTGTACAGGAGCTGATATTTTTGAGCTCAGGTTTTGTCCCTATTTCGGAAGGTCCTTTATTTGTTTCCTGCTTAGATAGTACATTATCGGTGTTTCCTTTAAAAGCTTCTAAGTAGAGGTGCCTGGGTGGTGCAGTTGGTTAAGCATCTAACTCTTGGTTTTGGCTCAGGTCATGATCTCGGGGTCATGAGATGGAGCCCTGGTGTCGGGCTGTCAGGCTGCATGCGGAGTCTCCTTTTTTTTTTTAAAGATTTTATTTATTTATTTGAGAGAATGAGAGAGAGAGAGCGCATGAGAGGGGGGAGGGTCAGAGGGAGAAGCAGACTCCCGCGGAGCGGGGAGCCCGATGTGGGACTCGATCCCGGGACTCCAGGATCATGACCTGAGCCGAAGGCCGTCACTTAACCGACTGAGCCACCCAGGCGCCCTGCATGCGGAGTCTCCTTAAGAGTAGCTCCCTGTCCTCTGCCTCTCCCCCACCCTGTATTCTCTCTTTCTCTAAAATAAATAAGTAAATCTTAAAAAAAAATAAATAAAAGCTTCTAAGTAGCAATCAAAATATGTATCCCTCTCTATTTGTTTAATAGATGGCTCTCTTGAAGAGGATGCATAGGTACACGAAGTATCTGAGGGATCCTCATTTAGACCACTTGAGCATTAAAATCCTTTGTATATTTATTTATGAATATAAAATATAAATATAAAATATAAATCTATTTATTTAGATGCTTGCAGATACGTAATCCATGTGTATTAAACGTGAGTCCCACCAGATTGTATGAAGGGGGTTTTCCATCCCCTTTTTCCAGTTGTGATGGTTTATTTTCTATCCCTGTTGGTTGACATGCCAGCGCTATCGAAGGGGATTTAGCTGTGAAAGAATGTGCTAATTAGAGTCATCTTGCTGCTTCAGGTGTCACCCTGGAGATGGTGGATTGTGTTTTGTGTCTCGGTTTTCTCTGGAGTTAGCCTGGCTGAATTCAAAGTACTCAACGTTCTAAGTGGCTAATTCATCTATGCTTCCCCTGATGGAGCAACTGAATTATTTGTATCGTGAATGGGAATCTCTGTGGGATGGCTGCTGGGTGCTGAAGTTGACTCTGCCACCCTCTGCTGAGAGGAACTAATATCCTTTGTATTTGGATTCATTCAGAATCTCATCTACAGAATGTGTCAAGGATTTAAATTGGTCACATTGTGAAGAATTTTACGTTTCTAAGAGGCAGATGCATCTGTGCTTCTCATGACTCTACTGCGTATTGTGGCCATTCAGTATTACAAAAGAAAATAATCTTCTGGGACACCTGGGTGGCTCAGTTGGTTAAACATCTGCCTTCCGTTCAGGTCATGGTCCTGGGGTCCTGTGATTGGGCCTGCATCAGGCTCCCTGCTCACGGGGTGTAGGCTTCTGGTCCCTACTGACTTCCAAATTGGATCACTATAGGAAGTTACCTATGCTGGTACCTCTGAAAGTAAGCCCTAGGATCCATGTTTGATTTGTGTTTTAATTTTCTTTTTAAGATGATTTATTTCTTAGAGCAGAGTGAGGAAGAGAGAATAAGGGGGGCTGGGAGAATCAGGCTCACCACTGAGTTGGGAGTCCGCTCAGGGCTGGATCCCAGTGTGCTGGGATCATGACCTGAGCCGAAGGCAGACGCTTACCCGCTGGAGTCACCCAGGCGCCCCTGATTTGTGTTTTTAAATCAGCAAGAATGATTAATTTGATGGTGTGAAATCGGAAATGTCAAGGGCTTTCTTTAGTGACTGAGCAAAATGTCTGTCATTTATTGTGGCCTGGTTTCACTATATGTGCTTTGTTTAATATTTTATTGATGTGAAAATCAAATTGATTGGATTTAAGCAGATTTAAAATTGCTGTTACCCAGAATTCAGCCTTTCATTTGCCTTAGTGTTTGAATAAGGTGATTGTGAACAATGCCATTGTCGTAAACTCTTCACAAATAATAGAAGTGGTGTAATTTTGTGGCTTAAGGTGAAATTGGAAAAAACAGAAAAGAAAATTTATAGACCCATGAGGTCATGTTAGCAGATGTCCTTAATAACTTCTGGTGTCACTTCACCTTATACCCTAGTGGTGTATTCCTTCTCAAAACACTTTGAGTCAGAAAAATATTGTTCTTCTTTATCTGAGAGGTTTTATGAGGTGTATCCTGTAATTATATCTGTAGGCTAGTGCTGACTGACTACTTGTAAGCTAGTGGGGTCACATTCCTATGTGTTGAGCCTACGCTACATGTCCCTTGTCTGGTACAGGTGTGCCTGGGGATATATGACCTGTAGTGTGCATTCTCTCATCTGAACTGACAAGATATATGCTGGCTTCATTAGATCAACTTTCTGTCGATTCTGTCAGGGAGCTTGAATTTCTGTCCCTTAAAAGGTCCTTCTAGCCGGACTAAGAATCCAATTGAAATGAGACAGATTAACAAGAAAGATCAACTTAAATTTTATAAGTGTAAGGAACCTTCACAGGCATGGAAATCCCAAAGGCAGTCAGGCAAAATGAGGTATTTATGTCTTCCTGAACTAAGAAGGAGGACCGGGGATTTTCAGGTGGAAAAATGCACTTCACAAGGCATTAAGAAGAGTAGATGTTTGATAATTTGATGTTTGCCACATCACAGGTGGGTC